ACGCAAAACGGACATAAATCCATAACTAAACTGAAATGTTTCAAATCTATTCGATCAACAATCAAACGTTTTGTTGAGCTTACACTGACTCTGCTCTATTTGATTGGATAGAAATGTGGCAAAATTGAATTAAGTTTATACATCAGTTCATTTATTAAGTGTATGTAAGCGCCGCTGTGAGCATTTCAGTTTGTTTTCACTGCCTGCTGCGCGCGTTTATTATCATAATCGATAGTCTATCATTCGGGCTGATTATAAAGTGGCAGCACTGCGCGGTTCATAAGGAGCGGGTCTCTGCTGCGCGTAGTCCGGGTTGGAGGAAATATCAGGTCCGCCTAACAAGCAGAGCTTTGAGAGAGTGTGGCCCAGGTGCAGGACACAGACCAGATCCGATAGATGTCACGCGCAGCCCGGGCCTCCTGGGACAGTACAGGCCAAGCACACGGTATCAAGTGTTGTGCCCCGTGTATCCGAGAGCCGGGGAGCATAATAGATACTATTTAAGTTACATCAACAAACCGGTACTTGTTCATTGTTGAGCATGTGCGCGCGCCGAGGAGTGAATTGATTATTTGAGGGACCCGCCTGCACCCTGTAAACCTCGGAAAGCACTTAAGCTCGCTATTATGATACCTGAACGGCATCTCCGCGCGGACATGAAGTCAGAGGAGGGGATAGTTCTAAATCACAGCTGACCAAAGAACCACTGTGTAAATGTACTGCGTTTGTCGTCCAGCAGTTTTTTAGTTTGCCTCAACACTTCTAATGTTTTGATACACAGGCAAGACCTTTTTCACTAATTAAGCAATGAACCAACTAGATCTTATCATCCTAGACAGCTGATTTAGATGCGTGAAGTACTGTGAGAAATCTGCCACCTGAGATACGAGATAAGCCATTTATCTGGGATAAAAGCACTGACATTATAATAAATAAAAGAAATAAACAACGTTTTAATTTAATGTGTTTGGGTAGCTTAACCATTTAAAAGTGATGTGTTAAATAACCACACACTAACTTGTGTCACCCATTTTAACACTTTTTGTGTCGCATTGTCTTCTCATTTAATAGCACATTATGTGTTAAAACTAACCCAAAAAGTGTTCTCCATAACTGGGTCTAGAAATATTTCAACTTATTTTGTGTTGAAAGTAAAAAATGTGTTGTCTCCAACTGATCACACTGATGTGTCTAGTTAGAGGCAGAATGTGTTATTTTTAACACATCTGTTTTAGAGTGATACAGTTACCATCCAGTACCTAGTTTGTCTAATCAGTCCTTCATTAAATTAAATCAGGTGTGCTGCTGATGGATTTTAAAGGGCCCATACCTTACATTTTTCTTGTCTTATTTGTTTTGCTTTTCTCTGAGGTCCAGTTATGTTGTTTGCTTGCTTTTATGCATATCAAAACCTATAAGGCAAAATTCATTTGACCATTTTCCAACCTCTCTTTATCTCTTAGAATTAAACAAGCTGCGTTACTGTGTATTTAAGGCTGATATGTGTAAATTAGCTCTGATTGGCTGCGCTGTGTTGTGCCTAATAAAGAAAAGTCCATGCTGAAACACTCGTTATAACTTCAGCGTGAATGGGCGGAGCTACACTGCTGTGGACCGAATAGGTAGATATTTGTAAATGGAGTGGTTTTCGTGACATTACAAAAACAACGTATTCATAATATGTTGTTTTTGCAGCTTATAGTTTCCTTGTGTGGACTATGTGGACTATACCGTACGTTTATACTATATGAAACGTGAACAGCGTTTATACACTGCCTCAGAATCTTTCTATAAAAAGTTTTTTTTCCTTGATATGGGCCCTTTAACAAATCCAAACAATGGTTGAAGTGCACCAAGAAGTCAGGAACCAAAGCTGTGTTCTTCTAACCATTAACAGCTCTTTTAAAATCAAGAAATAATAAAGCTTATTTATATATAAGCGTATAAGCATTAGAATACAATGGTGCAATACTGATGTATACTAATGTGTATATTGTGTGTGTATACATATAATCTTGCATAGTGTTCCTGAGGTATATAATATGGATATTGATCAGACTGAAGGAGCCCTACATTCGCTTCCCATTGAAACGCACCCTGACACCAGCCGTCTGGCTCTAATTCACGCTCCCCCAGCGCTGAACATGACAGCTCTGAAGGAATGTAACTCATCAAGTCTGGCCTGTCTTGTGGAGCAGCCGCGTCATGCCGCCACGCAGCGCTCCTCCAGGAAGATATATGAAAAAACATCTTGCAATAATCAGTCCAATTAGTGGAGGTCGCGGCTGTGCGCGCTCGGCCTGGCGGTGGGAGGTTGTGAAAACAGGGGGCGGCTATTAGAGGAAACGCGATCCCCATTCATCAGCACAGTAATAATCACCGCGCGCGGGCCTGCGGAGCTCTGATCAGGCTGATCCGTGGAAACAAGCCGTTTACAAACAATGTCAGGAGGAGCCGGGTGCCTTGATTTGGCCTGTCACTGCCGCGCTCGTCCCGAGGCTGAGGCCGCTTGACGGTGACAGACGTGTCCAGGTTAAGGCGCGGGCCTCCGGCTGTGTAGCGCAGGGCTGATGAGCCTGTATCAGTAGACGCGGTGCAGGCCTGCTTTGCTTTTAGTGAAGATCCGCTCAGCGGAGTGAGTTAGAGCTGCATGGCCTCCCTGCACGTTTGGATGCCCAGAAGTCAGGAATGATATTCTTATTAACAACGTGTTGATTTCATATTCACTGAGAACGAAAGCCCATTCAGTGCGTCATTGATTATGTATTTAATATTTAATATTCCATAAAATTCCACGTTCCCTTTCAAACGCTTTTATTCTTAAGTTACTCATTAATATGAATGCATAAATATGAACACAAATCAATAAAATAATATATTTTTTAAAAGGTAACTGAAGTGTCTATAAGCAGAAACCATGCAGCTATATTAGGTTAATTTGCAGCGCTGTTAGGAGCCTTACAGCTTATTTGTTCTGCTTTTTGTTGTTTATATGCTTACCGCAAAACCACCGTCAGAATAACAGATGATAAAAAGTGTTAATCTCGTTGGAGATGGCACGAGGGGAGAGAGAAATTAAAATATGTTCGAATCAACAGATAAAAATGACATTGACCTTATATACAGTCCAAACTAATTATAAACCATGTTTGCAAGTTAGATTAAATACAAAGAAAAAGCGTTCCGCGATGTTACTGTCAACGAATAATAATAATAATAACAATAATAATAACTACAATAATAATAATAATAATAATTATTATTATTATTATTATTATTATGGTTGTTGTTGTTGTTGTTCTAGTATTGCTGTTAATGGTGCATATTTGTTCAGTGTTAAAGATATTTAATTTTCTTTTAACTGAAGCTGATTTATTAAAGTTCTAAATGTTAATAACTTGAATCGTAAAAGTTTCCTCAACCATTAGTTAAAACGCGGGTCAGGAAACATTTTTATGGTTATTGTTTACGGCGAATAACTCCTGTCTGATGAAATTATGTTTTAGTTCAAAGCACTGCGTTCATTTACTTGAATGGTAAGCGTTTTTTATCCAAAAAAATGAATAGTAAGAAAATAGTAAGAAGATTATTTTGTTGAAATATGCCGATGTATAAAAGAGAGAAGCCGCTTGGCCATTTGTGATAATTTTTTTCGCGTACAAAAATAGAAATGTCTTCAATCTGCAGTGTGATCGCACTGCAGTAATGTCATCGGGTTATCAGTGAGCTTATGGTGTATTATGTTCATATTTGTGTCCCCTCACGTTTGTTAAAGCTGATATTGAGGCACCAGGGATGCCCGATCTCTCCCCCTACCAGCGCTGACCTGCGTGGATACATCAAACTGCAGCTACATCAACACAGCTTTAATTCCTTCAGCAGCTTTTCACAAATCACACCAAACCTGACTGTGCCGCAGCTCTCAGCTGCATCATTACGACCAGAGATCAGAAGGTGAGAGTGACTACTTTGCCATTCAAGCTGGGCTGAGCTGAGAGAGAGAGAGAGAGAGAGAGAGAGCACTGGGCAGGGTTAGAGGATACCCTCTGCCCTCCCACACATCTCTGACCCCTTTCTGTCCGATAAGAAATAGAATCGCTGCCTCAAAAATCCACACCAGCTCATACAGAGACCCAACAAAGGAGATGAGAGTATAGAAATAAATGAGGTGGACTTTCATCAAGCCTATTTTGAGTGCCGGGGGGGTCCACGAGGGTCTTACCGGCTGGTCTCCCTCGCAGTTTCCTCTCCCGCACACTCATATGCGCACGCGGGTCAGCCGGAGCCGATGGCCACTCTGAGGCGCTTCTTCTTGGCGGCTTTACTGCGCTTTTCCGCCGCTCTCTGAGCTCACCGCCTTCCTCCACCGCTGCCCCCCTCCGCCCCTACCAACCCAGAGCTACGGGTCGTAGGCACCCTCAACAGGAGCCGCTACTCAATAATGTATAAAGCGCTGCGAACTGCTCTCCAGGGCTTCTGTCATCGTTTAGGAAGTCTTTAGCAAAGGAAATCAAAGGTTTAAAAAGTCAAGATGTACATAAATGTAAAATTATATCCTAATAATAAAAATAAACAACGATTATCTACTGCAAGAAAACTACTTACAAATCAAATAAATGACGAATGGTTTAGAATATTTTAAATAAACATTCAAAGTCATAATTGCGCAAAGCCAATATCGCACTATTTGTTTAGCATGTCTGGTTCGACTGCGTGTAGTTCACAGTTGGGATGTTCATCTTTCACAGGACGTGATGTGTTCTGTGTTATCAACAGGTTGAAGGCTCAGTCTGCGGTTCTCCTGCTCAGGGCCGCTGACTGTACCACTTCGCGCTCTCTGGCGCCATCCTGCCCTCTGCTGAGGCACAGCTAGCTCCGAGCCGCGCGCTGTTTGGCCGCCGAGGCTGTCTGTCAAACCCCCGGGCAAAAAAAAAAATCCAAGATAGAGGGAAAAATGGAGACTATATTTCTATCTGTGGGCGGGTTTTAAATGAGGGGAATAATGAGCGAGTGAGGGAGCCACCTCAAAGGCTATCGGGTTACCCTGAATGACAGCGTTTCCATGGCAAATAATTGGACTAAAACTATTGTCTTATCCCCGCCATCCCCGGCTCGGATAACCAGCCAATCACAGTCCGCATAATCGCTTTTCTTGCCAGCTTAGAATAATATTATTAAACGAAGCGAGCGAGCTCGGTCTCCGGGAGTGCGCGATGGTGAAACGGCGCGGAAAAGAGCGCTGAGCGACTCGCGCAGGAGAGGAGCAGAACTTTTCTCTCAGTGCTGTGTTGTTTTTTTTTCTTCGTGAATGGATATACGGCGCGTTACGGGAGCTCTGCTGGATCTGAAGTTTCGGTGGTCTGTCTTCGCTTGAACTTGGAAACTTCGGAAACTCGGGAAACTTCGGAAAACTTGGGAAACTTTGGAGTGTTGTGTTCTTTTTTTCTTCTTCTTCGCGTTCTCGCGACGCTTTTTTGAACTCTCCGCCGTTCATGGACTCGCGCCGAGCTGCGCTCGAGGCTTGCTGCTGGTTGAGGCTGTCGGTGCTGACTCGCGCTCAAAGCAGACACAGAGAGAGGTGACCGTCGGCGGCGAACCATGTCCATGCTGCCCACCTTCGGCTTCACGCAGGAGCAAGTGGCGTGCGTGTGCGAGGTGCTCCAGCAGGGGGGCAACATCGAGCGCCTGGGTCGCTTTCTGTGGTCGCTGCCGGCCTGCGAGCACCTCCACAAGAACGAGTCGGTGCTCAAGGCCAAGGCCGTGGTGGCCTTCCACCGCGGCAACTTCAGGGAGCTCTACAAGATCCTGGAGAGCCACCAGTTCTCGCCTCACAACCACCCCAAGCTGCAGCAGCTGTGGCTCAAGGCGCACTACATCGAGGCGGAGAAGCTCAGGGGGCGGCCGCTGGGAGCCGTGGGCAAGTACCGCGTGCGCAGGAAGTTCCCGCTGCCGCGCTCCATCTGGGACGGCGAGGAGACCAGCTACTGCTTCAAGGAGAAGAGCCGCACCGTGCTGAGGGAGTGGTACACACACAACCCCTACCCGTCCCCGCGCGAGAAGCGCGAGCTGGCCGAGGCCACGGGGCTCACCACCACGCAGGTCAGCAACTGGTTCAAGAACCGGAGGCAGCGCGACCGAGCGGCGGAGGCCAAAGAAAGGTAACGAAAGAGAGAGACAGCGCACGAGCTGCTTCACTTTTCACTGAATATAGGGCGATTTGGCGGAATTTAGAGAGGAAAGAATCTAATTAGGTCAGATGTGAAAAGTAGAAAAGTAGGAGTTGACGTTACACTCAAAGCGGTTACTTCAGTGCTGATTTTCTAAAATATATCGATTGCAAAACTCTACCAGAGGAGGTGACGAGGTCAGTAAAAATACTTTTTCAATTTTCTGACATTAGACCATCACAACTGTTTACTTAGGTACCTATTTTTAGTATTATTACTATTGTTATTATTACAGATTATTTGTTACATGGCTGAGGTCTTATTACTACACTATTGTAGTGGCTCTACAACTTCATCCACCTCAATAGAAACGATTATTATTATTATGATTATTATTATTATTATTATTGTTGTTGTTGTTGTTGTTGTTATTGATACAGGTTATTTATCACATGGCTGAAATTTTGTTATTACATTGTTAGAGTGGCACTATAACTTCATCCACTTCAAGAGAAACGATTATTAATATTATTATTATTATTAGTAGTAGTAGTAGTAGTAGTAGTAGTAGTAGTAGTAGTGGTGGTGGTGGTGGTGTATTGCTAGTTATTTATTACATGGCTGAAGTCTTGTTATTACACTGATACAATGGCTCTATAAATTGTCCACCTCAAGAGAAAACAAAGTTCAATTTTAACTGAGCCATATTTAACAGAGTAACTCAAATAAATTACATTTTAGCCTGTGTTGTATTTCTAAATTAGTGAGACTGCAGTAGTCCTAAAGTCACTGGACTACTCTTTAAGGACTGAATCTTTGTTTGTTTAAAAGCGCAGTTCATATCCGCAAACTGATCGCAACTGAGCACCAGATCACAGCGTATACAGCAGGTCCTACAGGTGACCTAAAGGCCTCGCGAGCTCTGTTCTGATAACTGTTATTATGGCATTTATACACTGAGTTTGAATGCACTGTTTAGATTTAGAGGCTGGGTTAAATACGCCACTGTGGACATTAATAGTTAGACTGAAATCAGCTTTAGGGCCTCACTTATCTTTATTTAATCGCCATTGCTGTTGGATTGACTCGTAAACAGGCGGCTTTTTTATTGTGCAATGCTGCACATATAGCATTAAATTTGCATAGTATTTCACTACATCCTTTATGTCCCTCATACATTTCCTGCATTATAATTTCAATCAGTGCTTATGATCAATTTGTATGGAAACATTATGTGAAGCGACCTTGGGTTTGTGAAAGGCGCTATATAAATGTAACTTATTATTATTATTATTATTATTATTATTATTATGACCCTCCTACGTGTTTCCTTGAAACAGACTTTTTTAATAAATAACTGAATCTCAACCGATGTAGTGCCATGTCTGAGTTGTAGAGGGGCAGATTTATGAAACCTTTTCAAAGAAAGCACCGCCACAGAATGCCTTGCGTAATAGCTGCGGGCTAAATGCAGGCTTTAATGTGGCTCCCACACAAGCTAACCTCCCCTTCGCTTCGTGCCCCATTCCTTTACACGTCCTGCTTGCCTGGAGAGACGCTGTGTTCACGGCACCAGTACGAGTCGGTGCGATTTCTCTCCTGTGCTTTCAGTTACGGCTGCCAGATGTTGCTCTAATGGCCTCCATTATTTCTTGTCTCGCAGGGAGAACAACGAGAACTCCAACACGAACAGCCACAAGCCGCTGGCCACGTCAATGAACGGAAATAAGACTCTTTTGGGGAGCTCGGACGACGACAAAACTCCATCTGGCACCCCGGATCACACGTCGTCCAGCCCCGCGCTGCTGCTCACGTCCGGTCCTGGCCTACAGTCCCTGCACGGCCTGGCGCCTCCACCTGCGCCCAGCGCCGTCCCCGTGGCCAGCGTGGACTCCGTGCACCACCACCACCACGCCTTACACGACACCATACTGAACCCCATGTCGTCAAACTTGGTCGATCTTGGTTCTTAAAAGAACTACAACAACAACAACAACAAAGAAATGCTCGCGTGGAGCCCCTTTGAAAAATGATGAATAAAGGACGCCTGTATGAGGACGGCTGCAAAACACCTCCAGACTTTTGTGGAGCGATTGACAAAGCAAAAAAAAAGCAGAAAAGAGAAAGAGAGAAGGTATTGGACAGAGTAACAGAGTAAGTCGTGGATGTTATTTTGGAACGGTCTACGCGCAAAGCCAATGAAAACGTCCTCGATAAGGTATTTTTCTAGAATGTAGGTCTGTTGTTCAAAGCCACAGAACTAAAAGGGTCTTAATTCTTCTTATCGACGTCGTTACTTTAGAGATTGCAGCAGATCCGTTAACCTCTCAGCCGTATTTGTTTACATGTTATTTTCTCTCTTGTTTTCTTTTTTAAAGGCCATAGTAAGTTGCATTTTGATGGGGTGCCGTCTTATGAAGTGTTTTTATTACAAGCGCCGCGGTTATTAAAATGATCTCTTCTCTTTTTTTCATTTGTAATTGGAAAGCGACTGCATGTAAACTTTGCGAACAATAATAAAATATAAGCTCGATCCCACCATAGTTTTCATATAGCCTTTCCAATAAAAGCTAAAGTGCATTTATTGAGCCAAGTACGTGTTTGAATTGTGTTGTTGTGCATTTTGAATGCTTTATCTCTAATAGCACCGCAGGCAGGCCGAAACACATTTACACGAGGTTTAGCTGCTCATCTCTGACATTATAAATCAGCCTTTGGTGATTTCGTCCAAGTCACCAGCATTTACAGTGAGCTAGAATAAGCTGTAGTTTTCGGGGATGCTCTTTAGCCAAACTCTGAGCGATCTATCCACAGAAAGGAAAAGAAAAGTGGAGAGTAGGGCTTTACGGTAGTTAACACAGTCGTGTGCAAAAGTCAAAATAATTTTTGTTGATTTTCTAGGTAGAAATAAGTGACCACATCATCTACACGGCTCATACTTAAAAATATGGCACATTTCTGCAGATGTTAGTGCTCAATTTCAAGTTATTTGCTGAGTTTAACACACTGGAATAAACATAAAATATAAAATGTGCCATAACTTTTGCACCCACCACATTTTATGTTTATGATGTTTTATTTTTTCCAATGTGTTAAATTCAGCAAATAAACAGTAATTGTGCATGCAAATGTACAGAAGTGTGTTCTAGATCTACAATCAGCAAAAGAAAACATGTCATTTGGGGTGCCCAAACTTTTGCTTCTAGCTGTAAATATAGTATAATTAGTTTGTTATGCAAGTTGAAAATAATGTGTAGGTTCAGAGTTTTACATTCATGCCTGTTACAGAATCAGAATGCTAATCTATATCTTGGTTTTTTCTCCACATAGATTTACAAGATTTCCCAGAAAGATATTCGATATTTTTTTAAAACTCATATTCATATAATCATGCACCAGGAAGCAAACAGTGGGTTATGAATTAATCTGATAATCGTTCCTTCTGAGTTGTAACATTCCTGATTATACATTACAGCCAGAGGGAGTAACGCAGTAAGCACACGAGGCTTCATTCATTAAAGTCCAGGAGCCTGCAGATCAGGTCCGGTTTGCGCGCGCGGCAGGTCAGCAGTCACTTACTCTGTTTGAAAATGACCGCGTTATTGGAGATTCACGACACCGATCCTACTTTCAAAACAACAAACGGCTATGATTGGCTAATTAGCTGATTAATTTGGTCGACTGATCTGTGGGCAGCCGTATGGCTTTTTTGATTAATTACATCATGGTAATTATGGCGTTTTATAAACAGTCTCTGCTGAAATCATTCGCTTGATGTTTCCAGCGTTCCAGTCTTGGTAGCTCATTACCAAGCAACAGAATCAGACTCAGTGCAGCGCTGCAGGGTTTTGTTACCTGTTATTTACGGTTAACACGTTACACTTTACCTGGCAGCAAGGCAAAGAGGCGCGTTGTGCTGTTAAGGGCGAGGCGAACACAACTGAATTAAGATCTTTAGAAGCCATCTTCTCTTCTCTTCTCTTCTCTTCTCTTTTATTTTCTTCTCATCTATTCTCTTCTGTTCTCTTCTCGTCTCTTTTCCCCTCTTCTTTTCCTTTCTCCTCTTCTCTTTTCTTCTCATCTCTTCTATTTTCTCCTCTTTTCTTCTCTTCTTTTTTCTTTTATTTTCTTCTCTTCTCATCTCTTCTCTTCTATTTTCTGCTCTTTTTTCTTCTCCTTTCTTCTCTTTTCTTTTCCTCTCTTCTCTTCTTTTCTTTACTCTTTCTGTTCTCTTCCCTTCTCTTTCTTCTCATCTCTTGACTTCTATTTTCTCCTCTTTTCTTTTCTTATCCTTTCTTCTGTTCTCTTCTTTTCTTTTCTGTACTCTCCTCTTCTCTTCTCCTCTCTTCTCTTCTCTTCTCTTCTCTTCTCTTCTCTTCCTTCTCTTTTCTTTTATTTCCTTCTCTTTTTTTCTACTTCTCTAAACTTTCCGTTCTTTTCTTTTGTTCTGTTCTCTTATTTCTTTTCTTTCCCCCTTCTCTTCTCTTCTCTTCTCTTCTCTCTCTTCTCTTTAAATAAAAAAAAATATCGAAAAGCTTTGTTGTGCAGAGAAGATGTTAAACTGCGTGGCGCGTTAATTGCGGTTTTCCTTGCAGGTTATCCTCCCGTCTTTAGTCACATGATTATAAACAACTGCATCTGATTGTTCACTGAACTGAAATCAATGTTAAACGATAACTCAATTTATGCAACAACTGGTGTCACCTACGCTCTCAGCCTCTACTGTGAACACCTCACACTGCCACGAACATCCCCTTCAGCAGGAACAGTCGTTGTTGTCTAAAAAGCGCAGTGCTTTCATATGAGCACATTAGTTTCGGCCTGGCTTCCTTACAGAAGGTCAATAGGCCTATTAGTAGACCATAGTGAGCAAATATCTGTTTCAAGCAGATGTGGCAGGAGGGCAGTTGGAGGAGGTCTGCGAGAAACATCGCTTAGCATGCGCTCAAACTTAATTGTCGCCTGGATGGAAGCCGACTCTTTCCACATTCTTCATTGTGGGAATTTATCTAGCATTTTAACAAGGACATTAGTGCTGGAGATAGTGTGTTCTTTTGAAAGGGGGCGGGGAGCCTGTTAAACGTTGGGCATGAGATGTTACAAAAGCTCTCGGCACTAGCGAGGCACTAACAAGCTCTCCGCGGCTATAAATGCAATCTAATACGCTTATTTAGTGCTGGAAAGTATGTTTATAGGGAAATGACTCAAAACTACATCAGAAACCCAACAGTGAACCAAATAACCTTGCACATTTGCACCACTCACATTCTAAAGGACGAGTCTCTCCTATTTGCCATGCCCTCTTGTTTTATTCCTGGCTGTGGTCGTCGTGCCAGGCTTGTGTACAATCAAGCGCCGTTAGCCGTTTTATTTTCACGTATTAAGGTAAAATGGATGCGTTTCTCTCACTGCATGTAGAATGTCGCATAATTACGCGCAATTCCTGAAGTTGTGTTTCTCACGAACTGACAACAAAACACGTACATTATCCTATTAGACTAAATGTGCAATTATAGTCGTTGTAGGTCTGCAGTCACCTGCTTGCACAATGTTTGTGGCTGTCGTAACGTTACAGTACACGGAACATGTTGCACTTGAGCTAAACACAAAGGCCAGGCTGGATTCAGGTACTGTAGACCATCAGATAATACAGCTTTTTCTCCTATCCGATGAGAAACGTTAATAAATAGTATAAATAGGCTGGATTACCACAGCAAATGTACTAAAAAAATGAAAAAAAGACTGGATTTTACATTCAGGACATATGACACAAGTCTCCCACAGTACCATATGAAAACACCATTCAAATATTTACTTACACTGTGTTCCTAATATTCCCATGTAACACGCTGTTCCCATATTGCCATAGGGTTTAACACACTGCTCCTAATGTTACCATTTAACAGAGAGTAACACAATGTTCGCATATTACCATTTAACACAGTGTTCCCAGAATTACAATATAATAATAATGTTCCTAATAACACCACAGGCTGTAATAGCGATCATATTTCCATATAATGTGGTATTCCTATATTGTCATGGGCAATAATGTACTGTTCTTATATTTCTATATAACACACTGTTCTCAATGTTGCCAAATATCACACTGTTCCTATAATATCTTGGGCTATAACACAATGTTATAACACAATGTTACCTAATGACACAGTGCTCCTAAATTTCTACATAACACACTATTCCCAATATTACCAACTAACGTATGGTTGTTATATTTCTATATAATACACTGTTCCTATATTTCTATATAATGCACTGTTTCCAATATTATCAAATAACATACTTTTCTTATATTTCTATATAACACACTGTTCTCAATGTTACCAAATAACACACTGTTCCTATATTTCTACATAACGCACTGTTCTTATATTTCCATATAATGCACTGTTCCCAATAATACCAAATAACATATTGTTGTTATATTTCTATATAATGCACTTTTCCCAATATTACCAAATAACGCACTGTTATTACATTTCTATATAACACAGTTATTATATTTCTCTATGACGCACTGTTCTTATATTTCTATGTAATACACTGTTCCAATATTACCATGTGCTATAAAGTGCACTGGCCTTATGTTTCTATATTATACACTGTTCTCAATATTACCAAATAACACACTGTTCTCAGTATAGCCACAGGTTCTCATATTACCATTTAACACAATGTTTCCAGTGTTTCCATGTAATATAGTGTTACTAACAATACTACAGGCTATGACTCGCGGTTCCTATACGTTGTCCTGTATTATTACGGGCTATGACACGCTGCTGCCTGACGGCACATAATACCTACATTCATCCTACTTCCGTTTTCATACCGTAAGTCCAACTCATTGTGCGTGTTTTTTCATGTTTAAACAAAGGAAGATGTAGAGTGTAGGAACCGTGTTCGCTCTCTCTCGCTCTCTCTCTCTCTCTCTCTCTCTCTCTCTCTCGCTCTCTCTCTCTCGCTCTCGCTCTCTCTCTCTCTCTCTCTCTCTCTCTCTGTCTCTCACTTTAGCTCCGTAACGTTCTGAAGGTTGTACAATATTTGTTTTAAACTAGGCTTGTGTGTTAAGTCGTGAAAAAAAAATATATAAAAAAAAAACCACTGCAAAA